GGGGGGTGGGTTTTGGGGAGTCCTGCTCGGTGTTAGTGTGGTAGAGCGCAGGGTTTTTATTTCCTGTTCACACTCCGTTTTCACAGGGCACTGTTTTTAAAGCTACTGTACAAACCGTCGCCATGGCAACCGGCGCTGTCCTAAAGTGCGGTGAAATGAGCGGCCGACCACGGAGCAGAAACAAAAGCCCGTTCTTCTGGAGCTAACGGATCAGAGCTTCACTGCCAACCACCAGGAAACTCCTGCGTCAGCGACGTTACGTAAGAGAAAGGTCACGACGTATTTATTATTCAACGCCCCAGTCATTATTAATGACCTCTGCGTCGACCCTAGACAACCACCGCGGGGCGCCATCTGGAGTATGAAAGCTCTGATTACGTCTGGATCGGCCCGAGTCTGGACACAACGCTACGTCAGGAGACGTTAACGAGTCGGTCAGTTCTGAAAAAGGAAACGAAAACAAACCAAACTCAAAAGTTAGGTTAGCGCAGCGCGACGTGAAGGAGGTGAAGAAACAGTCGCCTGAGTGGGAGGGCAATAAAACAGCACAGGGGCAGAAATGTACTATAAAAGCACAGCAGGGGGCAGAACAGCCAGAGCTCTGAGACGACCCCCCACCATCACCCCCCCACCATCACCCCCCCCCCCAATCAGCTGTTTCTGTGGCGACCATAGTGGAGGGTGTAGAGAGGAGAGCTGGGAGAAGGCTGGATGAAGATGGATGGATGGATGGATGAAGATTGATGGATGAAGATGGCTGGATGAATAGGGATGAAAATGGATGAAGATGGATGGATGAAGATTGATGGATGAAGATGGCTGGATGAATAGGGATGAAAATGGATGAAGATGGATGAAGATGGATGGATGACGGATGGATGGACAGACATCGTCAGTGGTCAGCTGGAACACATCGTCCACTCATCAGTTTCTACCATAAAAAGTGACAAAGACCAATCAGCAGCCACTGGAACTAGAACTAGAACTGGAACTGGAACTGGAACTAGAACTGTTTGTCGTCTCCTGGTCCACAGTCACTCAGTAAACCTCGACCACTTCACAATCAAATTCACAATCAAATTCACACCGAGGGTCAGTTGAACCAAATCCTTTTGGACCTGGGTATTGAACACATGACCTTCCTGCTGCAGACTGATACACTGAACATTTGGCCACGCTGTGACCCTGAAGTTCATTTGTTCCTCTGCCCCCCCACTTTAGAAACCACTGCTGTAAGGCAAGCGGACGAGCCGCTGCCCCACCGCGTGGCCCTGAGTGGTCACAGATGATCCGGTCCTCGGTGGAGCTGATGTTTCATCAACAAGTCGTCGACCGCTCTGGTCTGAACCACAGTTGGGTTCCAGTCCCTGGTTGGCTGCTATTACACAGGTGTAACACTAGAGGGAGCAGCAGCAGGAGGAACATTTGTTTTTAACGCTGTTGTTTTCACTGACATCAACGTTGAACGCGGTCGTTCTTATCGTTAGCTCGACGTCATGTCAGCGCCTCGTGATTCGGACCCTTCTCCCATTGGATGTTTCACGATGATGTCACGATGTTGTGTTTGAAATGACGGTTGTATCGTCGGAACCTCAGCCCACGCTGACCTCCGCCATGTTAGTACAGCCGTGAGAACACACACACACACACACACACACACACACTCTCTCCAAACCATGCGTTCCTTCAGCTCGTCGACAGCTTCTCTGTCTCCTCTGCTGTGGCAGACAT